GGTGGGTGAAATGGTTCGACTGATTCTGACACGTTCTCCGGCGATTTTCCGATTGAATATTATTCCCGGAATCTCTTACCTCGCGACGTCTTCTTTACTACAAAAAAAACAGAGGCAGAAGCTTAAAACCAAAACCCAGACTTTCTCGTTGATCTCTCCTTCATCTTCGTCCAATTTTCAGAGGACGCGTTTCTATTCTACCGGAGCAAGAATTTCTTTCTTACCCGAAACCGAAAGTTCGAAATTTGATGATAATTTGGTTGTTTTAGGCATTGAAACGAGCTGTGACGACACTGCCGCTGCTGTCGTAAGCCCATTTTAATCACATTTTGGTCTGTTTTTGTGATTGTTGTTTTACTTATGGGAACTTCTTAGTTCACTGATCTTGTCTGATATTGGAGTTTTTGGTTTTTAGGTGAGAGGGAATGGTGAAATTCTTAGTCAAGTCATTTCTTCTCAGGTAAAGATCGTTCCTTTGCTTTGGTTTTTGTTTCTTTCCTTTATGTAATTTATCAATTTTGCACCTGTTTTGATCTCGGAATTGGGGGACATTAAGGCAGAATTGCTTGCTCAATATGGAGGTGTAGCTCCTAAACAAGCTGAAGAAGCGCATTCTCGGGTTATCGATAAGGTAATATTAGACTATTTTCTTATTGCAAACATTGCATAATCAATACCTCTCAAGTATCTGTATTCGATCCTTGTTCAAAGCATTGCATGAAATGCCCCTCCATGAATATATATATACTGGTTTCAGGTTGTGCAAGACGCACTGGATAGTGCCAATATAACCGAGAAAGATCTATCTGCTGTTGCTGTTACCATTGGACCTGGTTTGAGCCTCTGTCTACGCGGTATGTTGGAGAAAAAAGTCAGTGTTTTACACTTTGGATTAATAAGTTTCGTAAGAGAACTAAGGTACTAGTGTTTCTTTTTGAGTCATATAGTTGGTGTGCGGAAGGCTCGAAGACTTGCTGGTGGCTTCCATCTTCCAATCGTCGGGGTGCATCACATGGAAGCTCATGCACTTGTAGCGAGGTATTGCTCACTTTATGTGTTTACTCCAAATTTGAGATTTTTGAATTGCTCATCAGCTTTTGATATGTCTTCGTAGATTAGTGGAACAAGAATTAAGTTTTCCTTTCATGGCCCTGCTTATATCAGGTATTGACTTAAATGGTTTTTAGTATCAGAATCAATTTCGAAACGGGTTTTAGGTTTCTATAAAAATCAACACTGTTTTTTTTCTGTGTAGGAGGGCACAATATTATAGTTCTTGCGCATAAGCTTGGTCAGTACACACAACTTGGGACTACAGTAGATGATGCTATAGGCGAAGCATTTGACAAAACAGCAAAATGGCTCGGCCTTGATATGCGCAGAAGTGGTGGACCAGCTGTTGAAGAACTTGCCCTGGAGGGTGATGCAAAAGCTTTCAAATTTAATGTAAGTGAAACTAGTTTGCTCATTGTTTAAGACTTCTTTTTCTTGTTCTACTCGATTTCCGCATCATTTATGTTGTTATTTTTTTATCAGGTTCCTATGAAGTTTCATAAAGATTGCAATTTTTCTTATGCTGGTTTGAAGACACAAGTGAAGCTAGCTATTGAAGCCAAAGAAATGTAACGTTTAATATAATTAAATCTTAAAAATCAGCTTCGGAGGTTGTTTATCCGAGTTATGTCACATATGAGGAAGCTTTGTGTTAGAGAAATAATGGTCTTTTGCTGGATTTACAGCGATGTTAAATGTCCTGTCTCTTCTGCAACAAGCGAAGACAGAAGAAAGCGAGCTGATATTGCTGCTTCTTTCCAGGTAGAAACCAATCTGTAGTTTTAATGTTCTTGCGAAATGCAGATTTCTAATCATTTTCGGTTTATATAAACCAGCGAGTAGCTGTCTTGCATCTGGAGGAAAAGTGTGAGCGAGCAATAGACTGGGCACTAAAACTCGAGCCTTCTATAAAACATATGGTGAGACTCAAATGTGAAAAAAACCTCTGTCGTGTTTGACAATAAGCTTCTCGACTAATCTTTACAAATCTTCAGGTAGTCTCTGGTGGTGTTGCTTCGAATCAGTATGTAAGGCTTCGACTCAATAACATTGTCGAAAACAAAAACCTGAAGCTTGTTTGCCCTCCTCCTAGCCTTTGCACAGACAACGGTAAATAGAGTGTAAGATTCTCTTGCTGGTCAAGTTAGCTATACAGAGAACGGAAATTAACAATTCATTGATCTCCAGGAGTAATGGTGGCTTGGACTGGTCTCGAGCATTTTCGTGTAGGAAGATACGATCCACCTCCACCTGAAACCGAACCTGATGATTTCGTAGTACGTTCTTTAAAAAAAAAAAGTCAATACTTTTCAAGAAAAAAGATGAAAAGTTTATAACTTTGTGATTGATGTTTTGTGTGGTTATGAATTTTAGTATGATCTTCGACCGAGATGGCCTCTTGGAGAAGAGTACGCAGAAGGAAGAAGCGAAGCTCGTTCTTTGAGAACTGCGCGGATTCACCCGTCACTTACTTCGATCATTCGAGCAGATTCTCTTCAACAACAAACACAAACGTAGAAGAAACCATAGATCCCAAAACCATTTGTCTCTCAATGTAGACTTTTTAACTGAGGAACAAACTCTTTCCCGGTTAAATTATTAAAATCAATTTCATTAAACCAGTGGTTTACCTTCATATCCGGTTAATCTAAACCGTATCCCGGTTTTATTTTACTTATTAATGGCGCCAATATTCACTCACTCAGTCACTTGATATCGGCGAAATTCGCCGGCGATTGAAGAAGCTTCACTCGCGACTACAGTCATGGAGATATCGACGATTCCTTTGTCGTCGTCGATTAGAGGAAAATTGATATCGGCTGGTTATACTTCTCTGTCTTCGATATCTTCCGTCTCTTCCACTGATCTCGCTCGAGGTTAATTTCTTCTTTAACCCTAATCTTACTCAGAAGATTCGAATCTGTTGTTAGTATCGGGACTGATAAAGGATTTTGAGTCGTGATTTCGAGTTAAACGCAATCGATTGCTGATGGGTTGATTGATTAAACTATCAATTCTCTTTCTTTGTGCTTTTTTTGCCTTTTGATTTTGAAGAAAAATGCTTCATTTTTTTGTTTTGGTCATCTTTTCGTGTTTTGTGAGTAGATGTAAATATTACGGAGGAAGAAGCATTTGACATTTCGAAGCTGGCGAATCAAATCTCTGGATCCAATGGAAGCTGTATAAATGGTAACTCTAGTGGATTTTCTTCTTATACTGATTCACTGAAGGATTCTCATTGTGATGAATTCTAATTAAACAAGGAGCAAAGAATGCTTGGGATATGCTTCACGAGGAGGAATCTTTGCCGCGCATTACTACGTCTTGTTCTGATCTTGATAACATTCTTGGAGGTGGAATAAGCTGTAGAGATGTTACAGAGATTGGTAAGCCATCTCCATTATGTTATTTCTCTTGTCCAATTTAGCAACAACAAGTATTAATCTTTGCTTGTTTTGTCCAGGTGGGGTTCCGGGGATTGGCAAGACTCAGATTGGGTAAAATCCGCTTCATCGGTTTCATCTACTTTCTAATTGGGTTTTGTACTCTTTGTGTTAACTTTGATTTGGTTTCAGTATCCAGCTCTCTGTGAATGTTCAGATTCCTCGTGAGTGTGGTGGTCTCGGAGGGAAAGCGATCTATATCGGTATGTTTCTTTAGTAATGATGAGCTACGACTTTTGTTGATCACTTGTTGGTTGTTGTTACATGCAATTCGCATGTTCTGTATGCGACAGATACAGAAGGTAGCTTCATGGTGGAGCGTGCGTTACAGATCGCAGAAGCTTGTGTGGAGGACATGGAAGAATACACTGGATACATGCATAAACATTTTAAAGCAAATCAAGTAAAAATGAAACCCAAAGATATCTTAGACAACATATTCTATTTCCGCGTCTGCAGTTACACTGAGCAAATCGCGTTGGTCAATCATCTTGACAAGTTCATCTCTGAAAATAAAGATGTAAGTACAAAGAATTTAAGCTCCATCTCTCATATTCCATTGATCTCGCTGCTACAAGAATATTGAAACACAAATCAACTAAGACTCTCTTTATCTTTTTTATCAGGTTAAAGTTGTAATCGTAGACAGTATCACGTTTCATTTCCGTCAGGACTTTGATGACTTAGCTCAGAGGACACGAGTGCTAAGCGAAATGGCTTTAAAGTTTATGATGCTTGCCAAAAAGTTCTCACTTGCTGTAAGCATTTATCTGTACTCTCAATACTTCCCCGTTTAAACCGGTCATAATTAGCTCCATAATGAACTCTTAGACATGCCCTTTTACTCAAATCGCAGGTTGTGTTACTAAACCAGGTGACCACAAAGTACACTGAAGGCTCGTTTCAATTAGCTCTTGCGTTAGGTGACCAAACTCAAATCTAGCCATCTCTATTTTGCTACT